ACGTTCTAGGGTTTAGGGTTTTAGGGTTTAGGGTTTAGGGTTTTAGGGTTTAGGGTTTAGGGTTTAGGGTTTAGGGATTTTTATGTACAGATATGTATAGTAAGAGATGGGAAGACAGAGATAGCACCAGAGACAAGAGTAGTAATTATTTCTTATGATTTAATTGCTAAGGAAGAAAGGTTCCAAGCTAATTATCAGGTAAACCCTAAACCCTAAACCCTAAACCCTAATTTTCTATTTAACGCACTGCTGTGATGCTGCTAAAGGGGGCTTTTTATCGAGCCAATAAACCCTAAACCCTAAACCCTTCGGCTGTCGATCACTGTAAACCCTAAACCCTTAAACCCTAAACCCTAAATTATTGGCTGTTTAGGGTTTAGGGTTTTGTCTGCAGTGCGTCATCTGTGACGAGTCGCACTATCTGAAGAATCATCATGCAAAAAGAACACAAGCTGTACGTCGAGGGTTTAGGCCCATCAACTAGCTAGCTAGCTGGTTACCTACCTACCTCACTCTGCAACTCTGTAACAGCTACCTAGCTGTCAACGTACAAGCCAACCAGCTAGCTAGCCAGATAACCACCCATCTAGCTACACAGCTAGCTAGCTAGCTAGCTAGCTAGCTAGCTAGCTAATTATATATGTATATTGTGTTTGTATACAGATATGCCCTATGTTACGACAAGCTCGTCGTGCTCTATTACTATCAGGAACACCAGCACTAAATAGACCTGTTGAACTCTACCAACAAATTAATTGCCTCGTAAATATTAGGGTTTAGGGTTTAGGGTTTAGGGTTTAGGGTTTAGGGTTTTTTTTTCTTTATTTTTTTTCTCTTTTGATTTGTTTCTCCTTTTCTTTGTTTTTCTTTTTGCCTCGCTTTATTTTGTACCCTTTCCTCTATCTTGTATAGAAACCCTAAACCCTAAACCCCAAACCCTAAACCCTAATTGAGTGTTTATTCTTTTTTTAATGTATTTGTGCAGTTACCAGATTATTTTCCTTACCATGAATATATTCCAAACCCTAAACCCTAAACCCTAATTATATTTGTATATATATATGTGCATGCAGTTACCAGATGATAGTTCTTATAGTGAATTTCCTCCAACCCCTAAACCCTAAACCCTAAACCCTAAACCCTAATTATATTTGTATATATATATATGCATGCAGTTACCAGATTATTGTTCTTATCGTGAATTTACAAGAAGATATTGTATACCAATATATAATTCATTTAGTCGCCGATTAGAGGACGAAGGACATCAAAGAGAAGAAGAATTACATTTATTATTAAGGGAAACTATTCTTATAAGAAGATTAAAAAAAGATGTACTTAAGGAATTACCTGATAAACAAAGGTATAATAAACCCTAATAAACCCTAATAAACCCTCATAAACCCTAATTATATCCTAATTATATCCTAATTATATCCTAAACCCTAAATAAACAATAATATACTCTTTTTCTTACTTAGTAACCTAAATATTACATTACTAGACAGAATAAGGGATAATATAATACTCTTCTAGGGTTTAGGGTTTCGGATTTTCTAGGGTTTAGGGTTTAGGGTTTAGGGTTTAGGGTTTAGGGTTTAGGGTTTAGGGTTTATATATATTCAGGTCCCGTATACCAATAGAAATACCTGAGAAAGATTTACGAGAAATAAAGAAGAAGATGTCTTCCTTTGATTCATCTATTCTTTCTTCCTTTAATGATGAACCTATTGATGTAAATAAATAATATAAATAAATAAATAAATAAATAAATTAATAAATTAATTAATTAATTAAAGTAATTAAATAAATTAAATTATTAAGTAATTAAATAGTGTTAATATTATGCAGGGAATTATGGGACTTGCTCTCTAGGGTTTAGGGTTTAGGGTTTAGGGTTTATTGGTGCATAGATATAAATAATTAACACTTATTTCTCTGCATATTTATTAATATTATTCTCCTTTCCCCTGTGTTGCGCTTGTGCTGCATCTGCTGCTGCGTCTGCTGCTGCATCTGCTGCTGCTGCTGCTGTTGTTGTTGCTGTGCTACTACCTCTCCTCCTCCTCCTCCTCCTCCTACAACAACAACAACTACTGCAACTATTGCTGTTGCTGCTGCTGCTGCTGCATATCCTGTTCTTCTCATCCCTCCTTCTCCTCCCTACCCCAACAAACCACCAACAAAAGGAACTGGATGATCAGCAGCAACAAGAGCAGCAGCAGCAGCAACAAGAGAAGAATAGTCGTGTATTAGTATCTGAATTATTTATGTTAACAGGGAAAGCAAAGTTATCTGGTGTATGTTTATACTTATCTTATTTATTAAGTAATAATAAGCAACAAGAAGAAGAAGAAGAACAAGAAGAAGAAGAAGAAGGACAAGAAGAACAAGAAAAAGAAGGAGGAGTAAGAAGAGGAAAAGAAGATGTACAAGAAATAGGAGAAAAAAAAAAAAAAAAAAAAAAAAAAAAAAAAAAAAAAAAAAAAAAAAAAAAAAT